TTGTTTTCTCTAAAGTTAGCACGTTTATGTTTGGTGTTACCTCCACCCCCTTGTAATAATTGTTGATAGGTTTGTACTTAAAATGCTATATAACTTTAATTAATAATTGATGGAACTGGCAAAATGGCATTTTCCTTCTGTACATTTTGCAATATTTTGTCTTGGTGTCACCCCCTGATTGAAAGAAACTGCAAGCAAACCACATTTTAGATTAGACACATTAATTAGGCGGTAATTTTATTACAGAGTATCGATGAAGAAATTTCTTTTGAGTTGGGGAGGGGGGTGGGCTCAGACGTTCTTACGCGGGGGTGGGGCTTCGCCCCAACCCGAAGAATTGTATGAAAGAAACTCTTCACGCAAACCACTTAGATTAGACAACATTTCCTTTTTATTCAATGTTTACTCGAGAATCAATGGCGTCATATTACTGTGTACACTCTCCGGCTTGATACTATTTTCTACTATATGCTAAATGTGACGTCATATTTCGTTTTCGTTTCACTGTGAAAGTTTTTAATTTGCTTGTGTTTTCTATATAGAGTTCTTGTAAGATAGATAGATAGATACATAGACAGACAGCGAAACTATTAGTATTAATATACATACAGTGAGAATTTGTTATGCAGTGATCTACACACTCGAAATAGGAGACCCAATTACGTGTAGTTGTCGGATATTTTGGCAGAGGGAAATATCATGGACTTTACAAAAAGTAAAAGGGGAAGAAATACCCCTCATCATTGTCCCTACCCATATAAAAATTGCCCGGTACAGTACTGTGAACTTAAGCATATATGTATTCATTGCATTGTTTTTTTGTTTAGCATTGTCTAAGGTAGGGTTTTATTTTATTGTGTTGGGTTGTGATGTGCCGGCAGGCAGCGGGGTGTTTATGAAAATTTTGACTTCTACCTAATCGATTGTTTTCAAACTTGACAGGTAGATTTGAAAATTTATTGACTTTATTAAAAAGGAACAATCTCTCCAAGAGGTTTATTGTAAACAGATTAATTCAGGTCACTGTTTACCAAAACAGAAAAAAAAATATATTGATAGCAGCTCTCGAATTTTAACTGTTGTTAAAAATTTTAATGAGTCCACCATTATTGAGTATTTGCGAGGCATCGCTCACAATCTGTCTTTTTAAAGTTATAATAAAAATAATTTTTTTTTTCCTAATGTTTGTTTTGTATTTTTATATTAATTTTGTTTCTCGTCATCTTTGGTTTTTCCTTATATAAACCTCAATTGGGGGGTTTTTGTCCAGGGGGTTTATATCGCGGGGGGTTTTTGTCCAGGGGGTTTATATCGCGGGGGGTTTTTGTCCAGGGGGTTTATGTCGCAGGGGGTTTTTGTCCAGGGGGTTTATGTCGGGGGGTTTATGTCCAGGGGGTTTATGTCCAGGGGGTTTTTGACCGGGAGCCCCCCTGGATCCCCCAGGATCTTCATTGGCGTGTGCTAGTTCATGCTACCGTAAAGACGCCACGGGGCGTTCTGGGTGAAAACCTTTAGTAAACGTTAGTCGCCCTTCGTAATAGTGAGGTAGCCACTCCTCAGTGATCTCTGACGGGGTGCCACGGGGTGCCACGGGGCTCTGTAGGGAGCCACCGGCGAGCCACACTAGCGCAGCGGCGCCGTGTAGTGATCCTGGTTCGATGTAATCATATGCATTTGTCAATAGTGAGACGAATCGGTCAGTTAGAATCGATCGAGATTTCGCTTGGCTTTTTTTACCATTAACGGACGACAACAAGCACGACAGATAGACAGACTGGCAGAGGAAGCAATTTAAATAAATGTTTATAAAAATTATGAAAGTTGGCATGGAAATGCATTTATTTACTTAAACTGAAGTATTTTTAAAGTAAACTTTTTTCATGAAACCTTTGTATTATTAATAATATTAATTGTTAAAATATTCGATTTCTGAATTTGTTTCAGGCATACGTGTTTTATTTTATTTACGGCAAGCCATAAATGCGAAATTGATTTAAAAAAAAACAAAAAAACAGGACAAAAGTAATGATGGGAGAGGCATTTAGAACTGGACATTTAAATAAAAAAAAAATAGAATGTAAGAATTGTTAACTACCTGTATAATTCCCGTGAAAGCAATTGTTTTTCCAGTAGCAGTCTGAGACCAAACTAATCTTTTCTCCGCCAACCTTCTCTAGGGTCCATTCAGCATCCATGTCATCAAATAGTCTACATTCACAGGTGAACTGATCTCCTTCGTTGAGTTCGTGGATCACTGTTTCAAATGACATCGTAATGTGAATAAGAGAGCAAATACACGACCAACTTAATGGAGTAAGATATTCAGTCACGTGATGACAACGTTGAACTTAAGGAGGCACTCTGCGCACCTCCAGTTTTGTGAAACAAAAGCTAACAAGAGCGCCCAATTACACCATCTAAACTTAAGCTTTGGTCCAGTGGTTATTCTACATTCTCTTGAGGTGGGTTACAGCGTATATTCAAGGTTTCTATACAGAACACCCATGGACGGGCCGTATTGTGTATTTGATTTCCGGATGCATTCAGTGTACGTTATCCAATTACAAGACACATATGCCAATAAATCGGGTGAAAAGACGAGAATAAACCATTCGTAACAATTAAATATTATAACAAGTTTTCTTAAATTTCCTATGTTCAGAGATTGCAGCTACGCAGTTCTCTAGTATATGTATATTGTTCAAGAACACACACACTCACGCACGCACACACACACAAACAAACAGGCTATGTATATATATATATATATATATATATATATATATATATATATATATATATATATATATATATATATATATATACATGCATATATATATATATATATAATATATATATATATATATGCATGCATATATATATATATATATATATATATATATATATATATATATATATATATATATATATATATATATATATAATATATATATATATATATGCATGCATATATATATATATATATATATATATATATATATATATATATATATATATATATATATATATATATATATATATATATACATGCATATATATATATATATACATGCATATATATATATATATATATATATATATATATATATATATATATACATGCATATATATATATATATATATATATATATATACATGCATATATATATATATACATGCATATATATATATATACATGCATATATATATATATATATACATGCATATATATATATATATATATATATATATATATATATATATATATATATAATATACATATATATATTTACTATATATATAAATAAATACATAAATACATAAATAAATATATATATATATATATATATATATATATATATATATTGAGGTTTTAGAGGATTAAACGTAAATAGATTATTTGACCTGAACTGCAACACGAGTTAAATTATTGTGTTTTAATTTGGTGTATGTTTCACCTGGCATAACAAGCCAACCCAAAGCAACATGTCATGTGTGACGTTGTGTTTTTAAACATCACCCCTGATGTACTACTTCAGAAAACGATATGAAAAAGTTGAATTTTACTCGACTGGGCACGAAAGTGTCGATATGGTAAAGTGGAGAATTTCACAATAGGGCTGGTAAGTAGGTCACCAACCAGTTCTATGGCTCATGCAGGTTTTATTGAGCCGTATAACTGGTTGCTGACCTACTTACCAGCCCTATTAGGGGCTGTAAGAGTTACATAACCAACAGGTTATATTACAAAAAAATCAAAGCACTTAAAAGTCCATTATAGCACTGGCCCTGGCGACAAGATAAGATTTTTTACTGCCTACCCACGTGATTTTCCAGGTACCTTTATGCATTGTGTAACGGTCTCAAATTAGCAATATATACCTTCTACGTTATCCACGAAATTGAACAAACATCGTTCTCGGATAGATTTGCTTGAGCAAAAGATTCCTGTCATGTCTTGTTCAGCGTGTTGAACAGTGAGACGAGTTGTAACTCTATGCAAGTGTTCATCACCCGCCTCTAAGGTAATACCACCTTTAAACAGAATGTAGGTATATGCGCATCGCCATTCCATTGCAATGAGTGATTAAAATGTAAATATGTATAAGTTACCTGCAAACCAATACTAGCATTAGCATTTTCTTAAAATAAAAAGGCACTGAAACACATACAAATACTATGCACACTATTTCATTATAGAAACTTAGCACACCACACCTCACCACTCCAAAGCATTCCTTTCCACACCGCACCATACACCTTTACTCCACTAAATATAACTCCACTGCACTGCACCCAACAGCACTACACTGCAACAAACAGCACTACACTGCAACAAAGATCACTACACTGCAGCAAACAGCACTACACTCCAACAAACACAACTACACTGCATTTCACTGCACGAAACAACACCTCAGAATAGACAAAAGGGAAAATGTTATGCCTACCTTGATGGTACTGGACTGTGCAATTTTTAAATGGGTAGAGACATTTCGTTATTAGTGGTATATGTTCTCCATTGTTCTTGTGTAACTTCCACGTTAATGCGCCCAAACGAGAGGCTTTACATGTACAAGTAAATGGGTCTCCTATTTTCACTGCTGAGATATCTGAAGAGTCTGCATCACACAGTCTGCATCACACATCAAGGTTGGTTAAACAGAGCAATGTTACATTATTCAATACGGAATAGAATTTATTCATGCATGTTAGCCTAAAAAATACAACCTAAAGTACTAGAATAAAGCATTTGTCAAAACAGATTAGAGTAAGACATTTTGGTTATAAGGACCTGATTATGCCATTCAAATCAAGAATCAAATTGATGAAACTACATTGGCATAAAAACGAGCTATATTGTTTAGTTTATACTTGACGACGTGGCCTATCGGTAGAGAGCTTGACTGCTATTCTGAGAGTCTCGAGTTCGAATCCGGGTTCAAACCAGTGGGATGTCCCAAAGTCCACAAAGGTACGTTATGGGTACGGTGGGTATAGTGCTGATCGTGAAGAAGTTTACATGACATTGATACTGAACAGTTACCAGCAAGATTCCTACACCAGTGTGACTCAACATCATCAACTTAGTTTTAGGTTTCATAAACATTATCTTGTTAACACTATAAACGACATTTTTTTTTAAAAGCGCAATACATCAGAATTACGGTAAGCTACTACGACGCCCCAGCGGTAAAGTACCAGGTAACACCTAAGAGCGCCCCTACTTACCTTACACCTGGGGGATGACCCAGGGGGTATTGTACCTCCTGGGTGATCGAAGCGTCATCAACATTTCAAAACAGCACACCCTGGGGTGTTTGTGATAGTTATTGTGTATTCAATTTCCGGATGCAAAGATCATCCGTTAGCCATAACATCAGGCCACCCGAGTAAAATACAACATTCGCAAGAATTAAATATTACAACGAGTTTCCTTTTATTTCCATTGTCACTATATCACAGCAATACAGCAAGTAAGTTTATTTCGCCTATTTTGTTCTCTAACACACACACATACGCACATATGCACACACACCCACACCCACATATATATATATATATATATATATATATATATATATATATATATATATATATATATATATATATATATATATATATATATATATATGTATATATATATATATTTATATACACATGTATATACACATGTATGTATATATATATATATATATATATATGTATGTTATATATATATATATATATATATATATATATATATATATATATATATATATATATATATATATATATATCAGCACATCGATTATTGGGGAAGGATTTCCTGAAAGTGTCGGCCAAAGAAGCAAATACACTGGCAATCTCATACACGTCGGACATTGCCCACGCGCCTCGGCCATTGTGTGAAAAGGTCCGTCCCTTCGGGTTTGGCCGACCACTGACTTTAGCCGTAACAAGTCAGTATACCATGTATTTACTCTATCCAATATCAGGTATGCTAAACAATATTCACAACTAGATTTGAAGGATTGTCTATTCGATCAATATCCCAAAAGTTTTTAGATTTTTTTTATTAGGGGCCATTCATAAATGACGTCACGCTTTTTTAACGATTTTTTACCTCCCACCCTCCCCTCCGTCACACGACGTCACAAAAATTCAGACCCCCCCTTAAATGACGTCATTTCAGCCTACAACCCCCCCCCCCCTCAAAATTGCTGTTGAATTTTTCTTAAAACATCGATATTTTTCCAAAATCTTGTCAGAACTCAGTCATCATAGAGTATTTTAATCAATTCCTATTACAATTTATTAAAACAGTTTTCTAAAACGCGAAATAAAACTCGTTTTCAAACATTGCTTTTTTATAATACAAAAAAGTGACGTCACACAATCTGAACCACCCTCCCCCTCAACACACACCTACACAAAATAACGGAGCCCCCTCCCCCTACGAGTGTGACGTCATTTTTGAACGACCCCTTACGATTTTGTTAATAATTTTGAATACATTTTTCCGTATGCATCAAAACATTTTAACTTACAAGACTAGTGTATGTAACTAAAAAAAAACAGCGAAAGTAGGCTTAAATATTATATTTCTTTTCCTCATTAATGTCTCGGCGGCCTACTCTACTCATGCACATGGGTTTAAAACCGGAAACTAAATTGCCAAAAGTTAAAAAAAAAACATTTTTAAAAAATTAGAATTATTCTAATTAAAACATACCATTAATGGTCAAAAGACGAAAGAAATTATACCTCCTACATTATCCACGACTTTCATGTAACACCTGTCTACATCTACAGTGACTGAGCAAAGAAGTCCCATCATGTCGACTTCCGTTCGTTGAATTGTGAGATGAGTCCAAACGACAGCCCTGCGGTCATATACATCATCAGCCTTGTAGGAAATACCACCTACGAACAGAAGTTATGTATATGCGCAGCGTCAGTGCATTCCAATAAGTGACTAAAATTAAAATATGTATAAGTTACCTGCAAACCAATACTAGCAACAGTTTTTTCTTGAAATATAAAGGCACTGAAACACATACAAATTTCATCCACTCTATCTCATTACAGCAACTTGGACCTCGGAATATTTCAGGCCTATCAACAGACCACGTTCACTACAATCAATTGTACTGTACTGTACTGTACTGTACTGTACTGTACTGTACTGTACTGTACTGTACTGTACTGTACTGTACTGTACTGTACTGTACTGTACTGTACTGTACTGTACTGTACTGTACTGTACTGTACTGTACTGTACTGTACTGTACTGTACTGTACTGTACTGTACTGTACTGTACTGTACTGTACTGTACTGTACTGTACTGTACTGTACTGTACTGTACTGTACTGTACTGTACTGTACTGTACTGTACTGTACTGTACTGTACTGTACTGTACTGTACTGTACTGTACTGTACTGTACTGTACTGTACTGTACTGTACTGTACTGTACTGTACTGTACTGTACTGTACTGTACTGTACTGTACTGTACTGTACTGTACTGTACTGTACTGTACTGTACTGTACTGTACTGTACTGTACTGTACTGCACTGCACTGCACTGCACTGTACTGTACTGTACTGTACTGTACTGTACTGTACTGTACTGTACTGTACTGTACTGCACTGCAATGCACTCAACTGCATTGGCTACACAGCACTACATTGCACTAGACTAGACTCAACTAGACTAGACTAGACTAGACTGGACTGGACTGGACTGGACTGGACTGGACTGGACTGGACTGGACTGGACTGGACTGGACTGGACTGGACTGGACTGGACTGGACTGGAATGGACTGGACTGGACTGGACTAAACTAAGCTACGCTGTGCTGCACTGCAGTGCACTCTGTGCTGTGCTGTATTGCATTAATCTCAACACAACACATCAGACCAGTATCAGGTGAAAACACAATGCATTGTTTAAAGCTGCACCTACCGTGAAGGAACTCGACCGTGCAATTTTTAAAAGGAAATTCACATCTGTTTATTAGAGGTATAATTTCTCCATTTTCCTTCTGTAAAGTCCACGTTAATTCATATGTAGAATAGCCTCTACATGTACAGGTAAATGGGTCTCCTATTTTCAGTGCGTAGGTATATACAGGGTACAGATTACAATTCATGACTGTAAGTAGAAAAATCTTCATAAAACCCGGGTTAAAATTACGTCAAGCAGACTAGCATAGGACATACAAACCAAAAAAGCAAGTTCACTGAGGCTTAAGTACTATTTAAAAAAAAAAACGGCAGCAATCTCCTCTCAACTTTCTCGCCTATTCTTATATAACAGTAATGGGGATTGCACTTTTATGCAACCCGGATATAGAAATGTTTGTTTTTTTTTATTGACTTTTAACTTCCTCGTATACAGAATATGGAGGAAATATATATCGTCGAGAAAAATCACACGAAATTCTGACAGTTTTGACCGTTTTACACATCTGTATTTTATCATATACTGAGTATATTTTCAAATACATAATATAAGGTTATGCTCTTACCCGCTTTCCACCCCTCAATATATTTTTATAGTTTCTAAAACAATCAATCTAAAGGTATGTAGGGAGGGCGCTTGAAACTTTAGGGGGTGTAGTTAAATTTCCGGGGGTGGGGGGGGGGAGCAGAGGCGTAGCGACCCATCCCGGCACCCGGGAACAAACTTTTCATTTGGACCCCCCCCCCCCCCCTCAAACTTTTGATTTGCAAACCCCCTCCCCCCCTCGAACTTTTCATTTGCACCACCCCCTCAAACTTTCGATTTGCATTCCCCTCTAACTTTTCATTTGCACCCCCCCCCCCTCAAACTTTCAATTTGGCGCCCCCCACCCTAAGGTCGGCGCCCGGAGACATATGTCCCCCCCCCCCCCGCCCCACCCCTCGCTACGCCTCTGGGGGGGGGGGAGTGGTGGACACGATTGAAAATATTTCGTTTTCCCTTTTCGTTCGTTCGGGGTTGGTTTGGAAGTGCAGACCAACTTTCTACCAACCTGTGACGATCTGGACTTATGCAAACATCAGATGAACAGATGTTTTAAGTGAACTGAGAATGTGCCTAAAATGGCGCCCCATTCTGTCTTGTCGATTAAACTAAGAGCGGAGTAGTAATCATTCGACGAGAAACATTGTATTTACATCACATAAAATTGAGTTGAAATATAGCTGTTAACATTTTCAAGTTCGCATTTTCAGTTCGGTGATGATAATTTTTTTTTTAAGCTGGACTTTTAAAATTGTATTTAAATTAATTTACGAAAAGGCGCCACTATTCTAAAAATTGGCCCACCGGGAGATGGAGGTGGGGGGGGGGGGGGGGGGCTCCATTAGTTTTTACCAAAGTTGTGCTTCTGCCTACGTTACACCTTCACGTTTTAAAAACATTCAGCAAATGTATGCTGATTATATACAGTGTTTCTACCAGACTTTTTTCTCCATGGGCACTTGATATTTTCGGGGGGGGGGGGGGGCGGTCAACATTTTTCGGGGGGGGGGGGGGGGGGGGACACTAGTAAAAGTGTATGTTTACTATATAAAATCCATCTCGTTCGGGGGGGGGGGGGGCTCTGCCCTCTCGAAGGGATGCCTGGAAGAAACTCTGATTCTATAAATGAATACTATAAAAATTAAAATCATAAATTCGCACTCTGACATAATAGGGCTACAGTTTGGGTAAGATCTCATATTATTAGCATTTGTAAAGCAAAATGTTGTCCAATATTTATTTAAGTCGTGTAGCGGCTCACTAAGAGCAGTTATATTGGTAGTTAATATAAAGCAATTTAAATAATATGAAGTTCCGTACCTTTGAAGCAAAACACGAAAATCAATGAACTGCTGAATTTCATGTTTCTTGATAGGAGGTAACGTATGATACTGTAATCAGATGTGTTACTTTTTTAATCAAATGTTTTACTCTTAAATCAGATGTGTTACTATGTAAGAAGATGTGTTTGTCATGAGATTTATTACAATTTAGAAAGATGCAGTTACTACACGATGTTTTAATCGAAAATGGTAATGTAACGTACTATAGCGATGAAACCTGCTATCTTATTCAAATAATTATAGTTATTAAAATTGTATTGTTGTGGTGTTTGAAAGAGTAGTACAAGACAGCCTATTAACTTTAGAAAATTGTAATGAATTCATAAAAGATTAATTGGGTATCCAATGAAGTAAAATTTAATGTCATATTGCATTGTCATTTGGTCTTGCCGTATATCAGAGGAATTGACTGGTTAGAAGTGTCAGAAAGTTCGCTCGACAGCCATGATTAAGACAGAAGAAGCAAATAAAATAAAAACTTGTAATATTTCAAATTTACCACGGAAATGTATTTGCTTACTGCCAGAGGCGTAGCGAGGGGGGGGGGCGCACCAAGGCAAAAAAATAGTAAAATATATAGAGGAAAATTTGAGGGGGGGATGCAAATCGAAAGTTTGAGGGGGGGGGGGTGCAAATCGAAAATTGAGAGCCGCTACTCTGAGGGGGTGACACCATTAAGTGCCGCACCGAGTAACACCCGACCTCGCTACGCCACTGCTTACTGAAATGTATTAATGTAAGTCAACTTTCACGTTCTCTATATTTGCAACTTTTATATCAGTGATTCTAAAAGTATTAAATTTCAGATTTCTTTTTCAGGCTTCAGATTTTTGTATAGACGCTTTGGTGGCAAAATCGACCAACACACGGTTTTTACACATGGGTAACAATAGTGATCGAATACCTCTCGACAAACGTTTCTGCGTAAATTGACTTGATCTATTGATTACATCGGTGAAATAAATCGATTCATTCTGCAGTGGCAAAGAAGCAAGTGGCCTACAAAATGAGATTTGATTTTAAAATAATTTGAACTATTACTATATTTATTCTGTATTTAATACATTAAAATATATTTCTATTTACTTACATTTAAACTGCATAATGATATCTCTTGATGAGTCTAGCACAACAAACCTCACACACACGTTTGTTGTCAGAGAAAAACATCCGGTAACAAATTGCGTTTCACGAACGTCTCCAGTGCGTTCTATTTATAGTGGCATACACATCGAAACGAAAACCAGTCAACCGTGTTCTTCCTGTGTTTACTTCTATTTCGAACGTACAAGGTTATTTTATTGTCAGCTTGTTTATGTGTTTGTGACTACATGTCTGTGTTGTCAACCCAGCTCCTGCTGAATGGCTTCGTTAAATTTTATACACTACAAATTTAAAAACAAATTATGCACAACGTAAAGTATTTTTTAAAAAACGAGCCGACCCGCGGCATATCATACGCCGCTATTTAGTTTTTTTCTTTTCTACTTTTCAGTAATTCATAATTTGTGAATTCGACAGTACCAATGCGGCCACTGAAAATATTTGCTTTAAAACACTATCAGTAGGTCGTTAAGGACGATACTACCCCCACCATCCTTTCCCCCAACCCCTACCCTATACCCCCCCCCCCCCCCGTGAAAGCAGCCTCCTCTTAGTTACCTCCCCTACGTTTAAAATCGTTTCAAACTAAATTATCTGCCCCTAATAGCCGTCACTAAACCCGGCTCTACGATTGTAAACATTTAGCGTGAACCTCAACTCACCAGACCATGTAGGGGTGGGGTGGTAGGGAGCGCGCTTACAGCTTAGTGTTTTCTAGCGTCTCCAAGAAGAGAATTATATATATAGATAAACTTGACCCCCCCCCCCCTCCTTCCCCCAACGCTACTTCCTGATCGTAGATAATGTCCCCGCTCTCTAATTATTGTAGCACATTTGCATTGCCGGGTTATGCTTAACACCCGGCTAATATATATACAAAGAATGATGACGTCAATGTTGTTGGTAGCAACAGAACAGCACCAATTATCTACACAGAAAAATGTGTAGGTCTTAGATGAACATTGTTTACAAATTAAAATAGTAGCAACATGTTCATTCTTAAATTCTAGTGAAGATAATCAATCTATAAAAATGAAATTATGTGGGTTTGTGTATATGTTTGTTTGTTTGTCCTTTATGTATTATTACAATTTTCATCCCATCGCCATGGAACTCTGGGGAGCTGATGATAATACTCCCGGGGAGGTATCTGAGAGGAAAAAAAATTAATTTCGCAGGACCGGCGCCCCGGCTGGATTTTAGCGCCCCGGGCTTTAAAGTGATCGCTATGGCGCATAAGTTCGTTTGAACAGTGCGATAGACGATGGATAAGAGGGGGTATTATAATCGTTCACTAAAGTGAATCAGGGTGCGACTCGGCATCCCGGGCTATGCTACGCTTTTCTTTATAGTTATTTAAATAGCAGTGTATAATTTATTTTCTACTTTTTAGTACATTATTACATAAAAGATTGTTATTAAAACGTTTTTTTTATGATTATTTAAAATTATCTATATTCTTTATTATTGTTTCAGTTTTGCATACTACTTAAAACTTCACTGCTATTTTTACAACGGTCACCAGCACATTCAATATACTGGATATTATACCATGAGTTGCAATACAAGTAGTATGAACCAAGTGACCAAAAGCTTATGAGAATCGATGAGAATCACCCCTATAGGTCCAATAATACTCGAAAAGTCAACATTAGTTTAATTACACTTTTCTAAATCACATTATTCTTATTAGAAAAATGTTGTACTTACTACAATACATTTAAAAGGTATACAGTATTGATCTCTAAATAGTACTTTTAAATTTGGCGCATTGCAGGAATACACGATATCTGTACAACATAATGCACTATCCAGTAGCGTACGCAGGGGGGAGCAGGGGGAGCGGCTGCTCCCCCTCTGGCCATTTTTAGCAAAGTGGCGCCTTTTTGGAAACTTTTTAAAGAGTTTTAAACAATGATATTTGTTGAAAAAATTAGCTTTGGTCGGCACATCTATGCAAATCACAAGATTTATTTCATGCAGCAATTAATTATAGCAGTAATAGACTAGTAGAGTCAACGTTTACAACACGTATTAGCAGCTGTATCAGTTTGTCATTCTAAAAATAACCATTGCGATGCATTGCAATGTTTAAACTACCTCTACGGGTAGTACCACTTGGCAAGAGGGGTGTTAATTTTAAGGCAAATGTATGATGTATCTGCTTACGAATAAGTGAATTAGAAAATGGTACATATAAAACTTCAAACATAATTACTTTATATATACAGTTTAAATCGTGTAGTTTATTTTTTAAAATTACAATACAGAAATCAAATACAACTGATGTGGCACCTCTATTTAGATTTACTTATGGGCGAACTGCGAAGCGGTGGGGAAATTTTGACAAGGTCAACAACGTCATCACGATGAAGTAGTAGTTTTATGACAGTTTGATTACTATTACATATTATATGAAACAGTATCAACTTTCTATTAATTATTATTTTAGTTTACTAGATCTAGATCTATATTATATTTGAATAATGCTATATTTTGTATTAAAAAAACAACAACTCAATTTAAACTAAAACTGATCGCACAGTTAATTATCCGCTACTTATTTAAATCTATTTTGTAATCAGTATACATGCGTAATTGAATATGTATGTTTAGAACAGTCATCTAAAACTGATGCTATGTTCACTCTGAGTTGGTTATCCACCCCCACCTCACCACCACAATTGTGTAGAGCGACATTAATGTCACACCTAGGTATACGCTGGGTTGGATAATTGATCTAAAGTGACCGGGCAGTGCTGAATGAAGTTGAACACCTCCTCCCCCCCCCCCCCCAACCCACCCCGAACTGATCTGTTAAGTACATTTGGGAATACGCGTAATGATGTACCAAAGTACCATGCCGCCAGAATCATAGCTTTTGAAACGTAAATCTATCTGAATATTGTTTTTGCAATTATCAGTAAAAGGTGTGTGAGCAATACAATGATCTAACCCATACCTTCTCATTAAGTTAAAAAATTATCTTTAAAGAACACAAAAAGTCAGTAGCTAATTAAAATCTGAAATATAAGACGGTTATTTTAGTTTTATTTAGGCTCTTATTCCGAATATTGTACTTAATCATTGAAAAGCCGGCTTTTATAACAACTCTGATTTAAGGGCAGGTTAAACCCCCAAATTGAAATATAGGTGTTAGGACTTTTTTGAGTGATAAGGAAGTTGTAACTAACATAGTACATGACAAAAATTAAAAAAATCACTCAAAAGTTATAGTTTTGCGAAAATATTTTCTAAAAAGTGTCATTTTTAGGATAAAATAGCTCAAAATTAGCTCTCATTGAAATCACAATAACACAGCTTCTGTTTGTCTGAATAATACACATTTTTAACATGGTGCAATATACACAATTTAAAAAAAAGATAAAATAAAACAATTAGAAAATAATATTAAAAAATGGATTTTAGCCAAATTTTTAAATGTGAGACCCAAAAAATATAAAAAAGTAGGGAGTAGACTTAGCTTTTTATTTAATAAAATGTGAAGTTTCAAAGATATAGACATTCTTTTAGTTTAACTTTACAAGCAGTGTTTAAGGAACATGTGTGCGAAATTTTAGCTAAATATCTCAAGTAGGTGTTTAGTTATAGTGCAGGGGTCGGCAACCTGCGGCTCGCGAGCCGCATGCGGCTCTTTTGATGTCAAGATGCGGCTCTTCAGCTCGATGCACAAATGTAAACAATTAATTTATTTTATTTTTAAAACTCATAAAAGTATTAGTCTGCAACACGCGGTAATGAACAATAAAATAATAAATATAAACAGTAAACACGCGCTATTCTATTAGAACGAGAAAAATGGCCCGTTGAGGAAGGATACACCGGGCGCTAGGTTGATAGTGCTGTCTCTTTTCTCTAAACAAAAACCACCCCCCCCCACACACACACCACCCTCCCCCCCCCACACACACCACCCCCCCACACCACCCCCACCCCCCCACACACCCCACACACCACCCCCACCCCCCACACACACCACCTCCCACCCCCCAACACACACACACCCCCATACACACCCCCCCCCCCGCCCCCCCCCCAAAAAAACATGTCTACCGTCCCATTCAACGAAATATAATTATATACTTTTTCCAGTGTCACCCCTCCCCGAAAATTCTACCCCCGCCACCGAAAATTTCAAGTACCCCCCACCCCTCTCCGGGGAGGAAAAAGTCTAAATTAAAACCACCCCACCCCCCCACACACACACCGCCCCCACCACCCCCCCCCCCCCCTAAAAAAAAACATGTCTACCGTCCCATTCAACGAAATATAATTATATACTTTTTTCAGTGTCCGCACCCTCCCAGAAAACTCTACCCCCGCCCCCGAAAATTTCAAGTATCCCCACCCCTTTTAGGGGAAGAAAAAGTCTGAAAGAAACACTAGTCGCATTTGTAGATCATACAAACTAAAGGAAGAATCTGGGTGGGGCTTCGCCCCTACCGGAAGAGAGGAAAAAGTCTGAAAGAAACAATGGTGTCGCGCTTAGCCACTACGCGAAGAATTGCATTAAAGAAATTGCAAGAAAACCACTGTTTAGATTAGACACATTAATTAGGCGGTAATTTTATTATAGAGTATCGATGAGGAAATTTCTTTTGAGTTGGGGAGTGGGGGGGGGGGTCAGATGTTCTTACGCGGGGGGTGGGGCTTCGCCCCTACCCAAAGAATTGTATGAAATAAACTCTTCACGCAAACCACTTAGATTAGACAAAATTGCCTTTGTATAATTCAATGTTTACTCGAGAACCAATGACTGTGTGCACTCTCCGGCTTGATATTTTTTTCTACTATATGACGTCATACTTCGTCTTTCGTTTCACTGTGAGAGTTTTTAATTTCCTTGTGTTTTCTCTAGAGCGTTCTTGTCAGACAGAGCGTTCTTGTCAGATACATAGACAGACAGCGAAACTATTATTATAGACGAGAAAAATGGCCCGTTGAGGAAGGGTACAACGGGCGCTAGGCTGATAGTGCTGTCTCTTTTCTCTAAACTAAAACCAACCCACCCCCCCCCCACACACACCACCCCCCACCCCACCCCCCACCCCCACACACCACCCCCACCCCCCACCACACACCACCCCCACCCCTCACCCCCACAC